AATAATATATATATATATATATATATATTGTTATTATTATTGTACACTATTATGTTTGTACATTTTTTAAAGATGTTATCTATATTTTTGTATGTCAGGTGACACAAGGAAATAATTATCAGCAAGGAATTGCTAATATTTATATAAGGCGTTCAAAAAAATGCATGCTTTGTTACTTATTTTATGCAAATCACACTGAGACAAGCTTCATTGGATAATTAATAGTAGTTTATCAGATAATACTAAATACCTGTTGCTATCATAACTTAACACAATTGGATACAGTGTAATTATTGCTTATAAATTAGCGTGAAAATATAATCTTAAATTTTAATTACTAAAAAGAGCAATAAAATTAATTATTTAAAATTCATATTATGCTATTTTGAATTTTGCAAGAAATTAATTACATAATATGTATACTTAAAATGCAATCATGCATTCCATGTGCAAAGCAATAAAATGAGAGGTTTGGTAGAACAGTCGTAGAATTAAAAAAAAGAAAAAAAAAGAATAGAAAAAAGGTATACCAGAGATATGCATTCAAATAAAACAATAAAGTATTAAGTAAATCTATAATATTATTAACTATAATGTAAACTTACCAGTCCAAAAATGTTTTATGCAACCATTGCTTTGTATATTTATTAATAAATAAAACACATATGAGATTTCTTACCCCAGCTATATCTGCTAGTCCACGAATATGCAGAGTATCTGCCATAGCCAAAAGTGCAGGCAATTGTTCTTGATAAATATTCACCTCGCCATTATACATAAAGGTGACAAGTGCACATAAATTTGCATATTCCATGCCCGGTAATACAATTACAGGATGTTGCAAAGAACTTAAATCCTAAAAATTCATTTATACCGATATAATATAATAACGTATAACATTAACTTCTGTAGACGATATTTCCACATTCAAGAATTTAGATAACTGTACTGTGAATACCTTAAATAATTCTTTAAAATAGTAACTACAAGCTGAAAGTATAATTTTGTGCGCATGTATATGCCTGCCACCTGCGCTTAGCGTGACATCTGTTAAATAACCACCGTCAAGCAATTTAGGAAGAGAGCTCAAAAGCGTATTTTGAAAATTGTGCCACCGTAAACAAAATTGTTGACCCTCCATATTTCTGTGCTGTGAATCAAAATTTTGTGGAGCTTAATAATTTATTTATATCGAATAACTATTCAATTGATAAATTTCTATTTCATCATATAAAAATATGTCTACGTTGTAATTCATATAATAATCTGTAATTAATTTGAATGTTATAAAGAAAGAAAAAATATCAAAATGAGAGTATAAAGAACAATACTTATTACAATAAAAATGTTTTTAATTATGCAAACAAACTGCCAGAATAAAATAAATAACTGAACCAACGATAAACGTTAAATAAAATAGTTTTGAAGATATTGCTTCTCCATATGGTTTACTGATCATTAATATGTACTGATGATAATTACATTGCAATGAAATTAGTCTTTGCAGAAACACTGTTCTGAACAAGGTTATGTGTCTGACGACTCTTAATAAAACGGCAAAAAATTTCGTTGCGTCTGAATCAGTCTATTTGTGCCGGACGGAAGGATAGTTGCGTTACTGCTGGTGGAGCAGTTCGAGAGATAGACAATACTATTTATTTAATCAGGCTGCAGGTTCCAGCCAAGTCTATTATTGTACACTCGGGTATGGCTGGAGGAAAGGACAGATATTAGCTCGTAAATTCATAGAAAACAAGCGTCCATTTCCCCCACAATAATTACCCAAAAATTCACTGAAACTGTGATACAGAGTTTAATTTTATTCTTACCCTCACTTCAATAAACTCCGTTTGATAAATTCGATAAACGTATTCTTTATACGACACTTCACTTCCATCTGGCAAACCTCGCCATAATCACCCGTAACGTAGAAAAAAATATAGTCTGTTCGACGTGTGATTGTGTCTTCTAGTTTGACCATTAGAGGGCTACGAACAAATTGTTTATTCTCACAAGTACAGCAATCAACACGACGATATTACAAGAAACGATGTTCTTATCTATGACACAAGTTTTGTGGCGCGTGCCACAGCGCCACTCATTTTGGTATTAACTTATTTAAATTTGTGATTTAATAAAATTTTTTTGATTTTTAGAATATTCATAAAGAAGAATATTCGTAAACCATAAGTAGACTATATTGTAAATGAGAATTTTGTTTTTATAATAACTTCCTGAAAGCAAAACGAGAATGCAGAATTATTATGTCCAGCAATATAATATGCCAATGTGCTTCTTTTTCTAAAGAAGGAATTATTATAGAGAAACTTTTATAAAATTACAAAAAGTTGTAAAAGTAGATATAGTATCCTTTTACCTTCCATATAAAATAGAATTTTTAAATGTTACACGTCGTTGAATTTGATCTTATGAGAATTATCTAATTGTTTAAAATTAATTTAGAAAAAGGTTTTATAGAATTTTCATCGATATTTCTATTTTTTAATAAATTTAATAAACCTATAATCCCTTCTTCATTCTAAATACTTACTAGATTATTTTTTATTTAAAAATTATATAATATGTTATTTTATCGAGTGAACATGTTTTAAAATTTATGAAACTTTTGAAGCTGAATCAGTAATATAATAAAACATAAAGTATGATACAATTTTTTATTTCATTGAAATTAAAAGTTGAATGTAATTTGTTATATAGAGTGTGTATTTCATGCATAGGAAAGATTTTTTCTGAGATGGCGCTAGAGTTCCTGTTTGTTAAAAATTATCAGAGCTTACCATGGTTTATCGGTGTACGCCGAGTAACCAATATCAATTGTATTTTAATCAAATATCGCGATAAAACATTGCGCACGTTATTCCACGTAAACATCCAAACAAAATGTAGTATTTAAGTAATCAATTTTTCTATATGTAAAAAATGTTTGATATATATTTACGGAGGCGAATATGGTTTCGTTTGTTATTTACAATTGCGTTCATATTCCCGCTGATTGACAGTTATGATAGAAAACAACTGACATTCTGCGATGAGAAATCTTCTCGAAGGTAACTAATTGTAAGCTATTTCATGTGTGTCTCATATTGACGGTGCAACATTTAATGAGACTGTCTCAGTGCATATTTCTTATTTGATTTCTTATATTCTCGATTTCATCAGCACTGCTTTACTCTTATTGACTCTCATTACTAGATTATATACATTAATATCATTTATTTTTCTCTATGAAATAATTTATAACAATAGAAATTAAGTAGAAACCGATTATTTTAATAAGTAATATTAGATAAAAAAGAAAAGAAAATTTAGATCAAATTTTATCAAAATTGTTATATTATTATTCTAGTTGCTTAAACAAAATTTCAGTAAAGTAAATAAAGTAAATATTTTTTAGTTTATTATTTGTAAGCACATTAGATGGAAAAATATCTGCTTTGGATGCAAGCAATTTAGGGAAGAAACAATGGACTTTGGATTTTAATGAAGAACCTATGTTAACATCTAACATACATCATAGAGAGGTATATAAATCTTAAACATTTTCACTAACATTTCATTGAATATTTTCAGAAATTTAAAATTCTCATCTTCTTTTATTATTTTATTATAGTTCAATGACAATGGAAAAAGGATTTATTTTATACCATCTTTAAATGGAGGATTATATAAATTGGATGAAAAAAATTTGGAAGCAGTGCCTGTGTCTGTAACACAATTAATACAGTCATCTTTCCGTTACTCTGATAATTTAGTATTTTCTGGTGGTAGGGAAGTGAAATCTTATGGTAAATATTTAAATTATACATTCATTAAATAAATGATAATATTAAAACTTATAAGGTATTTTGAATCTATAAATATGTAGTAATATCTATGTACGTAAGGTAAACACACATTATAATAAAAGAAAGTAGTATCAATTGTTATATATTTTTAAACATAAAAATTTGTAAATGTTAGTATTATTCTTTTCAATAAATTATCCCATAATGTAATTAATTTAAATGGAAATGTTTCATTTCTGTAATAGGAGTTTCAGGTACAACCGGAGATATATTATATGAATGTGGAATTACTGGTTGCACTAATAACACTGGAGGAGAATCATATATTGAACGAGATGTAATTATTGTCCAGCGGTACCAACAAACAGTAAGAGCAGTTGAACCACGTAGTGGTAATGAAAGGTAACTCATACAGATTTTATAAAGATTAAAATATTGTTGATCAAATAATTTCTACATATATAAACATATTTTTGAATAGGTGGAACTTTAGTGTTGGCCAATACGAGATGGTACTGTTACCTCAATCTGATGTATACTGCCAAAACAAAATTGAAGCTCATATTCGAGATATTGAAATTAAAGTTGTTGTACCTGATGGTTTAATATGGGCTATTAACAAAAATAATCCTAAAGTAAAATTGTGGCAATATAAAGTAAGTTTTAGATAAATACAAAAACAAGGATCAATTTTGGAATCTCATACTAATTGTCCTCATTTATATTTTATTAGTTTGATTCTCCAATTGTTACTATATGGCGTGAACATACAAATGCAGACAGTGGGCATAAATATTTAAAAGAAATGAATTTATTTGATAGTGCACAGTGGTCTTGGGGTAAAGAATTTTCAGTTAGTCCAGGAATTTATTTAGGTAAACACGATAAACAGTTATATGTACAAGAAAATTCAGAATTATATAAATCATTGGAAGTATCATTACCATATACGCAACACTCAAAATATCCTTTGCAACTTTATCCTGCCACTGGTATGAAAACTTTTTCTCTCTCTCAAAAAAAAAGAAAAAAACAGACATTATTTTATTATTTTGTGTTGTGACATTATAATAAAGATTAATATATTTTAGGTAATACATTTATGAAAGTCCTTCCAGCTCTAGAAGACGAACATGAGAATAATAAAGCTTTGCTTCAGATAGATGGTTTACAAAGTATCACTGCATTGTCAGAATATGTAAAGGGTATACAAATTTTTGAAATTACTTAACATTAAAATAAAACGTTTATTTATCAATAATTCCTTTGATAAATATCTTTCGACAGACAACGGGTTTTACTTATACTCAAAAGATCAGTTACAAGTGGATAACACACAATGTAATCGTACTAATTCAAATTCAACAATTATCAATGGAGACCGAGAATCATTTACATCTAATAATACTCATAGTGAAGATGCTGATACTTCTGTTGAAGTTATAATTGTTTCACTGTGGTATTGGTGGTATGTAAGATTAAAATAAGAAATCAGAAATATTAACTTTTAATAGAAAAATATTTTCTTCAAACAGGAAAGAAGTTTTAATCATTTCTATTACCACGGCAATTCTTCTCAATTTCATGTTAACACAACGACTGTTAAATGTTACTACAACTGCTAAGGATGCAGTACTTCCGGTAGTATAAATGCCTTTAGTGTCTTTAATATTAACTTCTTGCGCTACTTTGATGAGTCTCATTATTGATCACAATTTCGGACCAAACATACAATTACGACCTGGATTTTGTACAATTAAATGATAGTGCAAGGGGTCTATATATAAATATAAATATATAATTTCATATTTTTATAGCCTTTGATAGTGGAGAGACATATAGAGACAAACACAAATAATCTTCAAATAATCAATGATAAAGAAAACGTTGATAACTTCAAATCACGTTATTTGACCGATTTTGAGCCAGTAGATTGTTTAGGAAAAGGAGGGTATGGTGTTGTTTTTGAAGCAAAAAACAAAATAGATGATTGCAATTACGCTATTAAAAGAATCGCTTTACCGAATAGGTTGGATATTTTAATTTGCAAATTTTTATTTCTTAATGATTTTCTTTTATTAATTTTATATTAATTTGCAGTCAATCATCAAGAGAAAGGGTAATGCGAGAAGTGAAGGCATTGGCCAAATTGGATCATCAGAATATTGTAAGATACTTTAATGCGTGGTTAGAATGTCCACCTGCAGGCTGGCAAGAGTTATATGATCCAAAATGGATGAATAAACTTACATTGCCAAATTCAGAATTTACGTCAGATGGAAGTCCCAGTGAAATGAAAGCCAATAATTCTGTTTCTATTAACATTTCTCAAACTGATCAATCGTCAATAGAAAGCGCCTGCGATGCGTATGATGCATTTAATCATTCTGATTCAGACGAAGACTCCTTTATAGTTTTTGAGAAATCTCATTCACTGGAACAGAATGAAAATGTAATTGACATTGGCAATTGTAGTACTGAGAGTTCTAATTTGTCGCTTTCGAATAACACAAATGATGAGACATTGCCGAAAATTGATGATTGTACATGTTCTCAGAGCATTGCATTGGAAAACTTTGAAAATAACGATTACTTGGAAAAAGAAGAGAAAAGAAAGCGGCAAAAATCATTTTCTTTAGATTTAAATAACAAAACGAATACTCGTAATAAATCCCCGAAAATGTTTCTTTACATACAAATGCAACTGTGCCAAAGGCTAAGCCTCAGGGAGTGGTTGAAAAGTCAATCAATGGTGGATTATCATCGGGTATTAAATATATTTCAGCAAATTGTTGAAGCTGTAGAATATGTTCATTTACAAGGGCTTATTCATCGCGACTTGAAGGTAAATGTTTGAACTCTTTATATGGTTTAATTGAACACATAAAGTGTAAACCTAAATGCGTTATAGCATAAATGAAATGATATGTTTTTAGTCATTGCGATTAGTAATTTAGTTTTTGCTTTATATTAGTATTTTTTAAAATTTATTTTTTAATTTGATATAAAAATTTAATATCTTGTTTCTAATATTCAAATTTTAGCCATCAAATATATTCTTCTCTTTTGATAACAAAATAAAAGTGGGCGATTTTGGTCTCGTCACAGCGATAACAGAAGGGTATGACGAAGCTCATACACCCCCTTCGAAAAATGAAGATGTTTCTCTGAGAAACAGTTTACATACCGCTTATGTCGGTACTCATCTTTACATGTCCCCAGAACAAATAAATGGACTAGGATATAATTACAAAGTTGATATTTATTCGTTAGGAATAATTTTGTTCGAACTTCTCATTCCATTTGTTACTGAAATGGAAAGAGTAGCAGCTCTTATAAATTTAAGAAAATCAGTGTTTCCAAGGAACTTCGATATCGATCATCCAGCTGAGGTGAGAAAATAGCTAGTTTCTATATATTTTAATCAAGTCGACTTAATTGGAAATATTTCTTTTTCAGTATGATTTACTTAAAATGATGTTAGATGAAAATCCTAATAATAGACCTACAACATTAGGCATCAAGGCAAGACCACCTTTATTGAATTATGAAATAGCTAACGGACTTGCCATAGACGAAGACAAAAAATGGCATTTTGAATTGCCTCAGATTACAAGACATTCCTCTGTGACTGGTAGTAGCAGTAGTAGTGAATCTTGGGAGAATATTACCTGAGTAATCATAAATCATTTCAAATAATGTATCATGAAAATGCAGGAATACATTCTATTTATTTCACACATTCATTTTATGTTGCATTAAATTTCTGTAACAGCTATACGTTTTAAAACAGTATCATTAAGAGTACTTGCTCAAAATATTGTACCATAAAATAGCATTTACTCAGATTTATTGAACAAATCGAAGTCTACGATTTAATGTTAAGTTTACACAAGCAATACATGATGTGAATTATATTGTCTTTCAGTAGGTTTGTTGAATATATGAGTAATCGAGAAAATTATTAATTACAATTTTTGTTTGTTTTTAAAGATAATTGATTCTTACAATGTAGAATCCCATGTTGTATCGTCTAATTGTAAATAAAAGCTGCCGTCGTTGTGAAGCGATATTTATATAAATATATTTTTTAAAATTTTAATTCGTGTTGCCTTAAATACTTTTGTACTAGAACCATATTATTTTATATTACTGTAACTTCAGAAATTTTATTTTTTTTAGATATATTGTTAAAAATGATTGTATTCGCTGTTACAAGTCAAAATTAACATAAATCTATTTTATAGAAGAAAGGAATAAAATATAAATATTTTATTGAAACACTTATAGATATGCTTATTTTTAATCGGGGACCCATCAGTTTAACATGTTAATACCTTAATTGTTGTTTGTAATTTCTAATGCAACTTCATTTACAGCTTGTTGACCACCAAGTAAAGTCATTCCATTTTTAGACTGAACAAAATTTATAATGGAAGTAGGATCATTGTTTAATATTTCTGGAAGTCTATAAAAGCCATACCTAAAAAAAAGTCTCCATTGAATTTGATAGGTATAACTTTGTGTTTTCATTTGTAAAAAGTTATTTATGTATATATTGAATGTTACCCTTTCCGAATTTCTTGTATTCCTTCCAATACCCACCAAATCAATATAAATGTGAAACATACAATTATAATCCCACAAACGAAATACCATTCTCTCCAAATTAACGTTTCAAATTCTATGAACAAAAATTTAATATTTTTTAAAACTAATATTTACATCAAATGTTGTAGACTAAATGACACTATAGTACCTCTATTTTTATCAGTTACAATAATTCCAAATGTGAAAGTAGCTCGGTCTGAAAGTCTATACGATTTATTTGTATAACGATGAATATGACACGAATAAACATTTTCAATTTGATTACGAGATATGTAACTTGCAATACTAATAGTACTGACACGACCATTGTCTTTTATGTGATAGAAGTCACTATTCAACAAAGAAAAAATTATTACAAAAAGAAATATAGAAAAAGTATTGAAACGTTTTACCTGTCTCCGTAAGAATAAAGTAGTTTATCCAGTAATAACCATGCAACATACGTTTTTTTGGATGTTACATGTATTTGTTTTTCACGAGGAACTTTATCATAGAAACATGATAATTTGAGCTCTTGACCTAACGGTAATGAAACTTCTTCATAGTAATCTACAAAATATAACGAAAGTTATGATATATATTAGATATAATATACACTAATTTACTAATGATTATTACCAGATAAACTAACAATACGACTTGCATAATGTTTACTCGTTGTTTCTAAAACTGGTAGTGACAACAGATCTACTTCATTTCCATCTATATTAAGATATCCAAGAGTAAAACTCATTTGTGGTATTTCTATGCATTTGGGACATATCTTTTCCTATTAAAAAATTTATCATTACCGTCAAATAAAAAGCAATATTACTAAGAAACGTTTACCCTTATTTCGTCGCGTATAGCTCCTATGAATATATTGGTTCCAGCTATAACAATACTTTCAGAAATTGAAGGTACATATTTCTTCTCATTTCCATTAACTTGCATGTATAACTTTTTACCATCTTGAACTACCACTACTTGAATCCATTCCTCCGCTAAAATGTGTTCCATGCTTTCAGTTCCAACATAAGACATTCCGTAATGAAATCTAAGTTTTACTCTTCCCTCCTCTAACAATAGTAAGATGTACTTATTGGAAAAATCATCTGGTATAATTGCTAAAATACCATTTACAGCTTGTATTTTGACTGCAATTATGATCTGCATTATGATATATAAAAATCATTATTATGTAAAATATGATTTTTAGAAAACTTCTTACTTGCCAAGATTCCATATTTTTTGGGCATGGAACTGTAACCGATTCTGTCAAATCAATAAAGATAAAAGCTTCCTCAACATCTCCCATTAAGAATTGTACATTAATAATACTGGAAGGAACAGCTTTTGGCTTTGTATCATATTTACCCTAAACAATATTTTGTACTGTAAGAATATTAAATTATTCGAGATAATAATGTATAAACAGCAATCAATGTACCTTTAATACACGAAGTGAAATAGGTGTGAAATTAATAATTATTTCTTGTATTTGACCTTTAAATAATTCTCCAATTTTCATAATATGATCTAAGTTATACGACCTTGGAATACATGAAAAGGTACTGATTTTATGTAAACCATTGTTAACACGTAACACACCATGTGATGGATATATTACTGCAAATATTACGTGCCATTCTCCAATCTACAAAATATATTATGTAAATTATAAGACATTAAAATAAGAAAAAGTTTTTAATTTACTTCCAGTTTATCTTCATGAATTACACCCATTGTACAATCAGATATCTGAGATATGAGTACTACTTTGCCATTTTGCAAAGATAATTTTACAAAATCACAGAATGAACCATGACAATTATTTTCATGTCGATAGATGAGCACACCAAATGGTGTCAGTGGTAAAAATCTTAAATATATATGAAGCAAACGCAAAGGTCTGTCATACGTTGAATACCCAAGACTACTTTTTTCCAAAAAATGTGCAACTTCATGTGATTTAACTATCAATTAAAATAATATTATTACATACAATACAAACTAATAAAATTGTAAACTTACCATTACATGGTTTACTGAAACATTGACGAACTTCAGAAGCAGAACCAGAACAGGGGCTACCATCACCGCTTGGAGATGGATTGTTGCACATACGATTCCTTAATTGTGTACCTATCCCACAATTCGATGAGCAAGATGACCAAACTGTCCATGGGGACCATAGTCCATTTACTTTTGGAATAGTATGAATAATTATATTTTAACATAGCATTATGTATTATTAGACATTGTACTTCCTTTTTTCTTACTTGAACAATTGCTGATTGTGCAAACACTTATCTCCTTTGTTGGACCTTTACAAAATGCTTCCTGTGCACTTTGCACTTTTAAGCATAATCGGTTTTTCAATTGAATACCACTACCGCATTGTACACTACATGTGCTCCAATTGCTCCAATCAGACCAAGTTCCCGCTAGTAAAATATAAAAATAATATGTAAAATAATAATAATAATAATAATAATTTACATCATACACAGAGTATATCCAATATACTTAAGTGCTTTTTGCAGTTAAGTCCCACACAACTTTTCATTTCCAAAGGTGAATCGTTGCACATTAATCGTGGATTTGAAGGAACTGGATTATCGCAGGTTCTTATGCGATATTTTTTACCTCTTCCACAAACAGCAGTACACGATGACCATGATCCCCAAGTATTCCAACCTCCAGGATCTGTGTAAAATATATTATCATTTATACGTAATTTAATTATAGTGAATACTCATTTATTTACTTGGACATCCAACATCATATTTAACACAATTCATAGCATTCCAATATTGCATCTTTATGAAAACATTCAATGATATTAATAAATTTTTTTCCTAAAATTAATTACTTTAATGGTAATTAAAAATATGGTGTTACTCCTTACAGCATTATTTCCAAGAATCTTTTTAACAATGGAAAACATACAATCAACAGAAAAACATAATTCGATCAGAGCAGGTAATTTTCTATGTATTTGGTTCACAACTTTTAATTCTTCTAAACGTATAGGATGATTATGTACAACATCTTCATAGTCCTTCATTGTACATCCTAAAAACATGTTCAAATAAATTAGACATCGAAATTTTATTAATTAATAATATTCTTGTCAGACAGTTACCAGTAATTTGACAAGTTTCAATTTGATAACTAGAACCAGTGCAAGGTCCACCATTATTAGAAGGTAATGGATTATTACAGAGACGATGTCTACTTCTTTTCCCCTTATATCCACATTTTCCAGAACAAGAACTCCATAAACTCCAATGAGTCCAACCACCGTCGACTGGGCACAAACTGTCATTCTTTAACCCAAGCTCGCAATAAAGACTTTGAACATTTAATATATCGCATACAATAAAATTATTAAAAACCTGTTGAAATATTCGTATAAATGTCCTATCAGCAAGATCAAAAAAGTCAATGTAATGAAAAATATTGAAATGTTCGTTATTAAGGATAATACGACACTAATTAAATGATGTACACGATTTAATTTGTGAAGTAAACTTACGAATATTAAGTTATAATAGTAATGAAGAAATTTCATTATTTTTAATTCATAATGTTTTAACGGATGGCTTGTCGAATTTAAATGCACGCGCACGGTTTGAATTCAAATATATGTATCTTCATCTACAAGATAAATTAAAACCAATGATATGTACTTACAAATACACGCATGCGTAGTGTTTTATAGGATACGTAGCCTAAATTTTATTTGTATGGCGCGAGCGGCACAAACCTCGTGAAATATTCTGTGTCACCGACAGTGTAAAAATAATTATAACAAATTTTTGTAAGTGTTTCATAATCTAAATATACACATTTTAATTTGTGCGTTTACTAAATTTCCAAAAATGTTTATGTTATTATATTATTTTCAGTATTGTTCGAGTTTTGTTTCCATAAACAAGTCTAACCTTCAGCCACGGTATTGCATTATAAAAAATGAAAGATTAAAATGTCATTAATAAATTGTTATAAATATAATTAAAATAATTAGTTATTAAATTCAACTTTTTTTCTATTTTTTGATAGTTTTGTTATTAACAAAAGATAACACGTAATATCTATTTTACATTTATTGTGTCCTTGTTTTGAAATCAATTGTTTGCACTATATTTTAGAGTTAAATATAATTTCAGCGTTACTTATATGCATATTTATTATATTACAAAAAATTATTTTAATGCTATAATGTGGAAATATAAACTAGTTTGATGATTTTTCTCCTTATTTAGTGTAAATATGACTCTCACAGAAATGGAACCACTTAAAATACATTTAGATGCTTTGGAAATGGCAGGAAAAGTGGTAGATGCACATATTACAGCGGATAGTAATTTCCCTTCATTAATTAACCTTATGAGATATAATGTACAAGGTAAATAGTTGTTTATTTCTTTATTTCACACTTAAATACTAATAGAGTTATAAAACATTTATTGCTTAAAGATACACGTATTGTTAATTTTATAGGAGGACCAACTGTCAGTGGTCTAGATGATAATGATTACCCTAGTTTACATGGAATGTCAATGTGTTTTTCCAATATAAACCAAATGAAACTGCATAGTAAAATTTCTTTGCCTTCCGAAATAATGGAACACTTTCATCGTATCCTTTAAAACATTTAAATATTTTGATTTACTTTCCTTTCCATTTCATAGGCTATAAATCCTTAATATTTGTTTAGATATGCAATGTCATTGTATGATGGGCTTATTCACAGAAATTTCAAAAGCATGGCTTACAATTGATAGCGACATATACGTTTGGTCATATGAAAATGAGTAAATATTATTTTAACTATTTATACAAGTTACAAATAAAACACGAACCAGTAAATTATTAGAATGATATTCTTTCAGGACTGATATAGCATATTTCGATGGATTAAATGAGACTATAGTAAGCGTAGGTTTAGTAAAACCCAAACCTGGAGTATTTCAATCTTATGTGAAATATTTATTGATCCTTACAACCATGGTGGAAATAACTATTCTTGGAGTCATATTAACAGAACATACTGATGGTATTCTAGTTTCTTCTCATTCATTGTTTAAGAATTTTTTTACTTTATCATTAATTTTTTTTGTATATTACTTAGGTACGTCACCTGAAATGCAGCTAGTTCCTGAACCAATTTTTACTGTAACTACAGATGGTATAGGAATTACAATAATAGCAAATACAAACAGTGGTAGAATTTTTCTTGGTGGTAGAAATGGTTCCCTATACGAAATATATTACCAGGTAAAAATATTTAGATGAATATAAAAATTATAATCAGTAAAACTAATACGAAAAGTAATAATAAACTGTTTTACATATTGTATAGGCAGAAAGTAGTTGGTTCGGGAAACGGTGCAAGAAAATCAATCATTCCGAAGGTCCATTATCATTCCTAGTGCCATCCTTTGTTACTATAGCTTTATCGGAAGAAGAAACGATAATACAAATTTCTGTGGACGATTCGCGTAATATTTTATACACCCTTGGTGACAAGGGAACGATAACAGTTTGGGATATTGATAATGATGGTGCATCCAAAGTCACATCTTTGTCACAAGCTTCTTTAGTACAAAATGCCGTTCACGTTGTTAAGTATGTACAGAGAGATAAATCCTGCACACTATTCAGTAACTTATGATTAATCATAACTTGAAAATTTCATTTGTATATTTTAGAACTCTCGATAGCAATAATTTCCGACCATTGGTGAGCATATCTGCTATTACAGAATCCGAATCAGTACATTTAAATTTAGTTGTAGTTGCAGCTACAGGAACACGTTTCTACTTTAGTTGTACTTTAATCACCAACCCAACAAGCCGGCCTCAAGGTCTCCAATTAATACATGTTAGATTACCACCAGGATATGCTGCCAATGCTACTGTAATGAGACCAAGAAAAGTGCAAATGGCACATTACCGTAAAGGTATTGTAATAGAATTGAGTATATAAAATAGTCCATATGAATTTTTAAATTTGAATGATAAGTGAAGATATGAAGATAATTTCGAAGTCATTTCCATTTTTTAAATTATTTAGAGAACCATATGAGTTTAAGGATAAAACAATTTTGAAATGATATTGAAGTGGCCTTTATATGTCTAATTCTTTATCTTATAATTCTGTCATTGTATACTACAACTCATCTCTGTAATCATTTTACTCTTTAAAAAATATATTAACATAAAGAAATTATTTATATATACATCTACGAATTAGATTGAAACATTTTCCTTTTGGCGTAATGTATCTTTTATAAGAAGTTTATAAGTTGTGTAATATTTTTATTACAGGAACATTAATTCTTGTATGTGATGGAGACACAGAAACAGCTTTATGCTTAAGCAATGATGCTTATCCATTTACAAATTATTTAGCTGAAACTCAAAGTCCACTATCCCTTGATAGTCCTGTATGGGCGATGTCAGAAATTCTTGTTGAACCAGCTATACGAATTGAGAAGCAAAGTTCTTCCCAAGGGGAACCTCCACTTCTTGTGAGACAACATATGGAAGCCCCCAGAAAATTTATATTTTTAACATCTCAGGTAGAAAGTGGATAAATTTTCACGAATCAATTTATCAAAAATGACATCAATTTATTAATTATTTATATTTTTATACACGTACACAGGGTGCAATAATTTTTGTACAAGTTCGTCCAGTGGACATTTTGAAACAGCTTCTTTTAGAACAACGTGGACCGGATACAGAAGCGGTGCGCGCATATTTTCAATCACAATCGCTAGACCAAGCATGCGCAACCTGCCTCATTTTAGCAACACTTGAAAGTTCTCAGAATGCTGAGGTATTAGTCAAAATTAAATTTGTGAAGAAATATTGGGTTGATGCAAAAGTTTCAACGTGTTTTTAAAAGAAATAAAAAAAAGGGTTCTCAACTGTTTGCTGACTAAACTAAAACTACGTGAAAACGAAGAAAGAAGTGTCTTTTATACACGTTATAATAATTTAAAAACAGATGTTATTTGTTTCGGGGAAAAGCATTTTTTTGTTAATCACGTACAACAAACGTCAAAATTTATGCATTAACCCAATAATTTAGTACAGACATAATGTTCACATTAAATAAATATTAAATATCCTATTTTATAATACATAGTTAGCGGAATGGGCAACAAGAGCATTCTTTTTATATGGTAGTCAACGCGTGACAGCGGGTATTGGACCCGGAATGGATGCACATAATACTTTCGTTAACATGAATACAGGTACATTTGCATATGTAAGTTTTGCTTTCTTTTTTATTATAGGTGTACTGATAAAACGTATGCATTTCTTAGTAGATATACGCACATCAACGCCCAGGGTTCCTAATTACGATATGAGATATCAAGGTTTCCGGCCTCATGCACCTGTAGGACTTAATACAGACATTCCATTACAACAATTTTCTGCGAAACACAATGGTTTATATTTATATGTCGGACGAATACTTCGCCCTATATGGAGTATGCGTTGCATTAAACAAGAAACTGTGAATAATAAGATACAGGTAAATTGAGGCTTCAGCCCACTAAAATATTACATTCGATCATAAAAAACGACTGCAACAACTGACAAAAGTTTTCTAAACCGCGTACCATTACTCATAATATTAATATTAAATAAATTTTCTTAAAAGTAATGAGGTTGCAATTATGAGATGTTGCGTATTTAATAATTTCAGATTTCTAGCACTATTCCAGTAAGACAAGTTACTTGGATTTTAGGACTTCTACAAGCGTTAAGATCATTTCTCAACAAAAATACACACATTACAAAACAGTATGTGCTGTACATATTATTCCAGACTTTGTTGGTAACGATTTATAATTGTTCCTGTATTAGAAATTATTATTTCCAGACCTAACACTAGCAGAAATATAACTGATGGATTTGAAACAACGGTAACTAATCATTATCAGGAACCAATAGTTGAAGAAAGAAACTCTTTAGCTGCTTTAAAAATTTTTATCACTCATGCATGTGAAGTCTTAGAACTTTGGAAGATTTTATGCGAAAATCATTTAAATAACATTGTTAATTGTTTGTCGAAGGTAAATTGTCAATTCAATTTCACATTATACATTTTTTAATATACATTTAAAAATATTTATGTTTCGGAATTTGATTTATAGGATCAAATAAATCAATTTTCTACAGCTACCTTCAGAGATCTGATTCTTATTGGCCACGAAATTTCTTCCTTATTAATTATTCACCTTATCGACAGGTAAGCAGACTAAATATAATGTGAATATATTTTTTAATAACATATATTAACGATTGACAGTTACCTTGGGGATAATGCATCTGTAGATATTGTTAGTCAACGGTTGAGAGAAGTTTGTCCAAATTTGTATAGAAGCGAAGATGCAGTTTGTTCTAAGGTATTGAAAAATACAATTTTTAAGTTTCCATTAACAGGAATACAATTATACAATTACAAATTCTATAAATTATAGGCCAATGAAATAATTTTGAAAGCAAAAAGTTGTACTAATCCTGAAGAGAAAGAGTGTCACTTACAATCTGCTTTAAAGGTAAGTAAAATTTTCGTTATTATTGTAAACATGATTTATGTTATTTTTCTCTTTTTACATTTATATCTGTAGCTGTGCAAAGAGGTGGCTCCCAGATTAAACTTAAGCGCAGTTTGTCAGCAATTCATCGCGTGCCAGTTTTATTCTGGTGTGCTCGAATTATGTCTGTGTTGTTCAGACAGAGTAGACCTCAATAACGCTGCATTACATTATTATAAAAACAATGAACCAAGCGAAGATCAGGAGGGTCGATTTGCTTATATGAAAAGGTATTAACTAGAACTTTCCAATTTTTAAATAAAACTGCATACACCGATGCTATAATAATTTATGTGGTTTTGATTTATTATATAGAATGGAAATTTATAAAGAATTTATTACACTACTGGACCATCTTTACAATCAAAGTATTTCAAGTCCATTAACACCCACTGTACCCAATAAACCTGGACCGTTATCTCAGAATGCTTCAACTATGTCCGTCACTCCAGCAAAAGAAATAGTAAGACGTAATTCCTTAATACTAAACATAACAACACTTTATATGTAACTAGCTCTACTGTAACCAGTCGAATCAGTTGTTGCAAAATAATGGTAAATAAGTTAAACGATAAATTTATCTTATTGAAAACAGAAACAAAAGAAAACACAAAAATTGAAAAACTAATTATTTTGGCAATATCGGAATCGATATAAAGTTAAATTAACGAAAGAAAACGCAGAATTTGTAATCAAATTTTAAAACCTGTTATTTGACCAGTCACGGTACATTTAGTGTTAAGATTCGAAGTCAATTATTTTTATATTTAATTTATTAATGTCTTAATTTGTTTTAGTTGCATGACATCATAAACGACGCTTTGCATTCACCTTGTGAAACTCTTCACGCTTCAGTGTATGCTTGGATGATAGAACGAAGGCTTCACGGAGAACTGGTTGCGCTCGCAGCCCCGTCTCTGGAAGCTTATCTCACTCGTGTTAATGCACCTGATTTACTTTGGCAATTTTACGAAAGAAATAAAAATCATGCCGCCGCAGCTAAAATCTTGGACTCTCTGGCGTCTAAAGAGTACGTACAATTATGCGGACACTTTATAGGAAGAAAATTGATTCCATTCAAAAAAGTATTTTGCAAGAATTTTTTCATATACAGTAAAGTGACGATTTCTTGAATAGTCGAATATTATTTGTAGTATAAAATACATACAAAATACAAAATGTTGTTGTCAGTATAAGATATCTTATTCTTTATATAGATCTAATATACCACTGTCGCAAAGAGTCGAGTACTTAGCTCGTGCAGTTGTTTGTATGCGAAGTGATCAAGCTGGATACGCTTCATACCTTGGAATATTTTTGCGCGAATTGGAAGATAAAGTAGAAGTGGCCAGAATACAACAACAGGTAAAAATTTGTTAATATTATATTAAAAGCAGTTTATTTAGAAGAATATTAATATTTATATTATTTTATAGATATTAGACACAGTTTGCAATCAACATTTGGGCGATCGACTGAGCGAAGAAACGTTTAGAGCATTAAAATATTCATTGCTCGATATTACGAAGGTACGTTAAAGTATTCATAACATAATTTTGCTTGTATTAGGTTTTAATGAAAAGTTCTATCTTCTTTTTAATTTCACCAACATTTAATCACCAACAATTTTATGACCACAGTGGTAAAAAACAACTAAGGAGGAATGGTAATAGATTGTTATAATGCAGAATAATAAAATAATAAATATTGTTTCTGTGAAATTTTAATATCTGACAGAACTTTTGGATAACGCTACTAGACCCCAATTTTCTGTGTATTAATAATTTACGTTAATGATTGCAGCTTTACGAAAAATATGCAGACCCTCTGCAATTATGGGAATGCAAATTAGCCATAATTCATTGCTCTGGTCATCAAGATGCAATGTTGATTCAGGAAATTTGGACTAATATTATTAACAATGGTATTTGTATTATATTGTTTATATTTATTTTCAATCTGTTAGATAACAAAAAAATTAGTACAGCTACATTACCTATTTTGTAGAATTACAAAATGCATCCTCTGCAGAAGACAAAATGGCAATTTTAATGAGCAAAATTATATCCCTTGGTGAGGAATATTCTGGATCACCACATTGTTTCCCAGTTGGTAATGAGATAATTTTTATTTAATTTTAAAGAAGACACAGATCATACAAATATAAATAACTATGTTTATATTTATCTAGACTTTCTGATAAAGCAGTTAGAAATAAAAGCGTGTAAATTAAACGTATCGAATGCTAGAATTATTTCTGGATTCCTACAACTAGGTATTTCAATGGAGGATCTTTTAGATATTTACAAGTAAGAGTTGACTATTATTATATATTAATTAATTAAAATAAGGACAATTACAAAAACTTATATACAACTTTTCTATTGTTTTAGAATGATTGGAAAGGACACTCGAACCTGGTTAAACGAAGGAAACGAATTTCACTTAATACAATCAACAGCAAATTTGGTTAATTATTTCATAACTCATTCTAATATAACGAATAACTTCATTAGGTAATCTATTTCTTAATTCGATTACACCAAGTAACATTACTCGATTATTAAATAATCATTGTTAATGCAGGCGAAAAATCATCACCAAATGCCAAGATGTAATTTCGAAATGCTTAACTACCCTCTACAATCAACCTCATGGACAAAAATTAATAACGGAGCTCAGATCGATTCAGAGCGTTCTAAACCGTATGTAAAGAAATTATTGCGGCATCCTGTCGAACGGGCAATGTTTTGTGAAATTGTATAAATCAATGAAACAAAACGAAACAAGTAAACTGTATGAAGAAACTTTTTTGAGAAATAACGCAAAATGTAAATAGGTGGGAACCGCATTTGTTCTATTTTCTATACTGTATACAGTGTTTGTTCATTTCATAATAAAACAATCATGTATCGGAATTATAACGTGATTGATCTTTTTTTAAGTAAATATTTTATAAGATTATAAAAATGTTTTATCTACATGTGTTATAGAATAGCTTTTTAAAGATCGTTTTGTACTAATTCTATGAAATAATACTGTCTGCTGTAAATATTGATAGTGCTAAGTTTTCTGGCGGGGAAGGGGGGATAATTTTTACTGTGCACTAGTATTAAATATTCAACAAGTGATACATGTTTTAGAAGATGTTTTGATAAACTGAAATAAGATGAAATTCAAGAGTGACGAAATTGAAATCCCTACTTCATTTGCAAGTTCTTAAAAATACAGTTTCCAGCTATTCGCACTCATACTAACATTCTATGTGCAACATTAACGAATCGTCATAATTTTGAAAAAAAACTTAATCACCAATAACTTGAAAACCATATAATTAAACATTTAGTCAGTATAGAATTTCCTTTTATTCTCAGTTGCAGAATAAAATGTTAAAAATATATGACGAAACACCATGTATCTAAACCAAATTTTATAAAGTATAGTTGAACCCATTTCAGAAACAATGTAACTACACTGTAACGAAAAACAAATTTACGAGAATTAGAATAAACAAAAATTTGTTCAGCGATTAGATTTTGTAAATCTACAAAATTACAAACTGCAAGTATTATAAATATATTGTAAAAACCTTCTATTTAACTGTTACCTAGTAAGTTATTATGAGAAGTGACAAGAAATAAAGTTAAATGACAATATGACTAGTTATTTATGGATGTAGTTCCAACGTATGAATATTTGTTGGCCCTGAGAAGGACCGATTTTGTTGTGGCGAAAAATATATTTTCGCTTATTTTGAGCTGGTGTACTTGGTTACTGCCTTGGTACCTTCGCTAACTGCGTGTTTAGCCAATTCACCAGGCAGCAAGAGCCTGACCGCAGTCTGAATTTCTCTGGAAGTGATGGTCGAACGTTTGTTGTAATGGGCCAGTCTAGATGCTTCAGCAGCGATGCGCTCGAACACGTCGTTAACGAAACTGTTCATAATGCTCATGGCTTTACTCGAGATACCAGTGTCGGGATGCACTTGCTTCAAGACTTTGTAGATGTAGATTGCGTAGCTCTCCTTCCTTTTCCGTTTCTTCTTCTTGTCAGCCTTATTGATATTTTTCTGCGCCTTGCCAGCCTTCTTTACTGCTTTTCCACTAACTTTTGGCGGCATAATGACGACCAACGATAGACTCACAAATTAAAACTTGAATCAAATCTCACTTCGAGTCGACGACTGCTGGAGAAAGAATGACTTACGGCAGCATAGTGGCCTCTATATATATCAAAATGGAGCAGCTTCGGCAAACCAATCAGAACGCAGCACGAGTTTCCGAGCACGTTATTGGTGCGTTGGTACTACCGTTACCTTCGAACAATAGAATTGATTTCGTAGAATGCATACGGACGCTATTCTGTAGATGCTTTTTATATACTAAGTTATATTAATTTTTTTACAATAATGTATTGGTTTCTTTGTTTAAATTACAATGGAATGTCGTACCATCATAATATAATACTGATTTTCAGATCATGCTTAAAAAAATATTGTTAGTTACGGTTACCGAAACTTACTGAAAAAGAACATTCACAATTATCATGATTATTATTTTAATTAATTTTAAAAATCGAAGTAAAATTGTAAAAATACTTCTTTTTTATTTTTCTATTTTAAAGAGATCTTCAATCAATAATGAAAACTTATTAATACCTACACGCCCATAGTAAAATATATGTTCCAAAGAGGTGTATGAAACGTACGAAGTCATTTATCGATGTTATATATGCTGTACAATTATTCTAAAACGAACTATTTTTAAGTTTCTGTGCAAATATTATAGAAATTGCATTTGACGTAAATTTTTTCTCTAAAAGAATCGTCGTTTGTTTTGCAGCCAGATGTTGACCACTCTCATGGGTGCCCCGTGAATATTTCGACAGATGTTCACAGTTCAGGCGTAGCCATATGTGAAAATAAATAGCAGTTTGTGAAAAAGAAATACATAATATTAAACCAACTGTACAATATTCATCAAATAAACAAAATAACGTTGTATTCATCAAAATATTTCTACATACGGTCAAATAAATCATTATTTCTTTATTACTTATTTTTTATACTACAATCTTACATACTCCCTGTTTTATAAAACAATCTTAATTTATCCTATACCAATTATATTAACCTTGATAAATGAATTCTTCTATAACTGTTCAAATAACTGTTGTAGAAAATAATATAGAGAATTAGAATCAGATGAAGCTAACAACGCTGTCTCGTCGTCTACCGAATGTAGCCTGTTCATTTCTCCCGTATACATTAATTGTTGATAAATTCGACAAGAATATCATCCAAAACGAATAAAAAAGTTAACGAAATAAATACTGCCTAAAAAATATGTACCGATTTTTATATCCTGGCGAACAAGAAACAAATATCATGCAAATTTTTCTTTGGGTGCATCGCTGTAAATAAAAGACATTAATATGACGCGATATACGAATGCTGTGAAACTGTTTCTTCTTGTTAAATTGCAGCAACATTGACAAATGCAGCAAAATATTAGTCTGGATAAATAACAAATGATTAGTGAATTCTTATATAAAAATTTATTGTAAATACATTTTAAAATATGTTACTTCACTCTACAAATTTTATTCATTTGTATTAATAATAATTTTTACAAAAAATCATTTATATTGTGTTTTTTGTATTTTGAATACTAATAAAATACAAGTCAAAATCACATATGCAAATAAAATACACAAAACTCAATTAAAATTTGAAAAAGTTTTCATATTATCTTTAGTAAAGTAAACATTTTTATTAGAAATTCAATATTTCACTTTAATTTTGTTTTGTCTAATTGGTCTGTAAAATTTTTAATTTTCTCTCTTGTATACTTTCTTATATAGTTTCAAAACTTGTATAGTTTTAATAAATTCGAAAAATATTCAACTATTAATATCTAATGAAAAATTACGTGAAACTAAATAATTAACAAAAGTATATAACGTATACATATGTCAAGTATGTAAAAGAAGGAATTTAGTACGGTATAAGACATCTGTTCTTTCCCGCCAATCAGAATGGAGCGCGACGCTCATTGGCTGTGCGTAGCTACCTGAAACGGTATAAATACGAAGCAGAGGGGCCGCAAAAATAGAATCGTTCCGATTGTCAAGGCGAGCGGAGTTCAAGTGTGTTTTATTTTCATCGATATTATCGTATCTGCTGAAAAATGTCTGGCCGTGGAAAAGGTGGAAAATCTAAGGCAAAGGCGAAGTCTCGTTCCAATAGAGCCGGGTTACAATTTCCCGTTGGTCGTATCCACAGACTTTTAAGGAAAGGAAACTACGCAGAAAGAGTTGGAGCTGGAGCCCCCGTTTACTTGGCTGCCGTTATGGAATACCTGGCTGCTGAAGTTCTGGAATTGGCGGGAAACGCAGCACGTGATAACAAAAAGACCAGGATCATTCCACGACATTTACAACTTGCAATCAGAAATGACGAAGAGTTAAACAAACTTTTGTCCGGCGTTACCATTGCTCAAGGAGGTGTTCTTCCCAATATTCAAGCAGTACTTCTGCCAAAGAAGACTGAAAAGAAGGCTTAAGAAATAACAAATAACAAAACTGGCCCTTTTCAGGGCCACAAAACATTTTACATTTGAAACATTCTCAGTTCTACTAAAAATATTTCTAGTCTTTGGTTTACAGAAATTCAAGTTTAATTTAATTTATTTTCTTCACTTGAAGTTAATTTTAATTACATTATAATTTAATATTACTCTTAGTATCAATGGAAACTGTTAATTATTAATTATTAAGTAAAAAAAATAATGCGTAATCTATTATCTAATTAGTAGTTTATTATTTACATTGAAGAATGAGAACCACTGTTAAGTAGACCTATAGTTGAGCGGTTTCGTCTATCTTCTTTCTTCTTGTATGAAGCATGTGCAATAGTTTTGTCAATCGTTGCACCGTAATGTGAAGATTTTGTTAACTGAAACGGTATTTGAAATAATACATATTTTATTTGCATCAGTAAATGTTCTTTGAGTTAAGAATCCTTTAATATTCGGAAATTAATAGGGATTAACAACCTTTTGTGAATAAGAATTTTTAGAAACATTAAGAAATTCTTTCACAGAAAACTAAATTAGATATCGAATTTTGAAATACTAAAGAATAAAGAAACAATACATAATCTTTTATTATTAACATAACTAAATTTTTTATTAACTTTTGATTGTCGATACGCAAATCTGATATGGTCATTAGGATGACACTCAAAGGATTAAACAGAAACAGTCTTATTTCACCTTGTGCATTTTGTATGTAAATTTGAATTTAATAGAATTTCTGAAAAATAAGTATCAAAGTATCTTTAAAAGAGAAACAAATATTTTTATTATGTTTTATTATTTTTATCAAGTTTTGTAAGTTTTATTATACAAACATAAACTTTAAGAAGCAATTTGCGGTAAGCTTGATTTAAATACTTGTTTATGACGTACGAGGGTATATGTTGAAACACATGTACGTTATAAATAATTTTACATTCTACATTCAAAACGTTTTACATACTTTAATTTTGATATTTTAAATCCAATTTTCACTTTCACTTATTTTATTCTAATCTTGTTACACAATCACGTAAAATATAACACATAAGAATTTTTTCCAAGTCTGAACGATTTCCGAACGGTAACGCTACAAAGAACTTGTTCAAATGGTTGGTTTTCTTTTCTCTACAGAATTCGAACTGATCTGTCGAAGTTGTACCTATTCACTTTGACTTAGGTTCAAGGATTAGCTGGACATCGCGGGAGAAAGTTTCAATCACTTGAGGAAAGATTTATGAGGGTTTAAGACCTCTGGTTCGGTATTACGCGCTGGGTTTAGCAGGTATTACCAGTCGCAGGCTGTACGATAGACAAATGGTCAAAACAATTTTTTGGAACAAAAAAATATAAATTCTAATTAATTGAATTCACAATCCTATGAGCACAATTTTTACGTCTTCTAAATTGTAGGCATTGTTCGCAAACAAATTTGTAATTAACGCACAAATAAACTATAATTCTAAAAAGTTTCGTTTTTCAATTTTAATTACTTTAATTGTACATAAAAAAACTCCCGTCAGATTTTAATAATTAAGTAAAATATTAACATCATATTAAAGAAGGGATAAGTTGTCGTATTATACAGTAATGACAAGAATTTTTTTATTTGTAATTACGTATCCTTATTTAAGTAAGCAAATAACATAAATCACATTCTATTTAATAAAATTGAATACACCATCGGGGCATGAAGTAAATAAATGATTATAATTGCGCCGTTACTTATATATATCTACGTGCAAGTAACAGAAATAAATCAATTTGGAATACTATATGGTAAATGAGTATATAAACATTGAATTTCTTGAGAAATTATTTTCAACAAAAGCGTGAGTTTCGTACAATAATTATATTTATCACACAAGAAACAGTAAAAAAAACAATTATAATAATTTGAATGTGACAATTAATAATGTGATAAGAACAAAAAAAAACAACAATTTTGTTGGGGCCACTTGTTTCGATCCCACAATGAATCTGTTGGCAACGCTGATTCATAAGAGAGAATGGAAACATCCGAATCCGGCTTGAACTGCGTGTACTGGTATGTATGGACGGCAGTTTTGCTAAATGAACGACTTTTATGAAGAAACAGTCTTCTATGTAATATGAAACGAAGAAAATTAGTCAATCCCTAACCATGCAGTGTCTATAGTCACGCAATTAACTTCTTAGTGGTAAGATCAACATCCTTTACTAGGGACATAATTTGACTTCAATGTATATAACCTTCTTTCTTGTCAATATGCAATGCATTAACTTCAGAACACCGGAAATTTACAGTGTAGAATTGTGGTTACGCTTCGCGCAAATATACGAAACAAATCACAAAATCCCTATCCAAGTTTTATATTGTAAGCATAGTTGTCTAGTATTTCAACTTCTTTCATGTTAAATACTTATAATTGTTCTTTAATCTAATCCAGTCTGTCATATTTTACTGAAAAATTAGTATGTTTATAATTTCATAATACAATAAGATGAAGTTCATCATAGTTACGAGGTTGTTGCTTATAATTTAAAAAGACCATTTGATTAATATTTTAATGGCGATGTTATATGTATTCTAGATAACAGCCTAATATAAATAGAATTTTTTTAATAAGACGGCATGTTTGTAAGAGTCTGGTTGCGAATTCTCACGGGGCATGAATGAGGAAGAATTATTGAAACGGTCTGCTGCAGAGCGAGATAGAATATTTAGCTGCTATGACCGTGGCAGAGAAAATGGAGCAGAAATTGATTCATGGGAAGATCCTGCATACGAAGTATACCATACAACAGACAGATATGGATTTATACAGTAACTTTCATACTAATGTTTTTACTAATACCATTACTCTAATATCTGTTAGTATATGTTAAAATACGTGTTTCAGTGACAAACGATTGCCACAAAAGCCGGACCCGAATGAAATTAAATGTCATCGGGTGGAAATGGAAAGACTAAAAAAATGGGAAAAAATGACAAAACAGTGGGATAGTTCTTCTACAAAAGAAAAAATACGACGTAGGGTATATAAAGGAATTCCTAATAGATTTCGTGGTCAAGTTTGGGCATTGCTTTTGGGAATAAAAAGTTTAAAAAGAGAGCAAGCCGGTAAATATGATGAAATGTTACAACTTGCGCGTCAGTGGTCTACTGAAATAAGACAGATCGATGCTGATGTAGCTAGACAATATAGAGATCATATCAATTATAGGTACATAAATCATACTTAGGATCTATTGTTTCAATATATTTGATGTATGTATCTGATATTAAATATCTATTTTTTATCAACAGAGAGAGATATAGTATAAAACAACGATCCATGTTTTATGTCTTGGCTGCTTATAGCATGTATAACATGGAAGTAGGCTATTGTCAGGGAATGTCTGTATTAGCTGGATTACTTTTATTATATATGGATGAAGAGGATGCATTTTGGGGTCTTTCTGTATTGCTGGCTGATAAGAAGTACACTATGCATGGTCTGATCATATTTTATGTAATCTAAATTAAAAATCATTTGGATTATAGTTAAATATATGTTTTCTGTTTAGGATTTTATGTTGATGGATTTCCAAAACTGAATCGTTTTATTGAACACCATGATAAAATCATGAATAAGTTTTTGCCAAAATTAAAACGGAAGCTTGATAAATGTGGCTGCGATTCCATTCTTTACGCATTAAAATGGTTCTTTGTTGTTTTTCAAGAAAGGGTAGAGGAATATTCATTAATTTTTAGTCATTACTAATGATTATAAAATATCCCCTAAGATTTAATATTATTACTAAGTAATACTTTTTTTTATTTGTAACAGACACCCGTCAGTCTGGGTCTTCGAATTTGGGACATATTTTTATTAGACGGCGATCGTATTTTACCGGCAATGGCATACACGATCATGAAAATGCATAAACGTTTTCTTATGCCAATGGAAAGTCTAGATGAGTTTTGTAATTATTTGCAAATCAAACTCGAAAAAGATTTTTGTTTTGATGATGACACAGTAATAAGTACTATGGAACGTAGTATGGAAGAATTAAAACGTTCTAAATTGGATTATCCTGGTCCAGCCTTACCACACGAATTACCACGGTTTCCATTTGGTACATTCAAAGAACCTTCATTTGCAAGCAAGGTAGTTTATCTTTGTTTTTGTACTATTTTAATAATTATAAAATATTACATTAACCATTATATTTTGATTGTTATGTCTTAATCCATATATATTCAGGTTGGAAGACGAACAGAAGAATTTAGTGAAGCACAGCATGCAATGCGAGAATCTATAACACAACGTAGGGATTTAGTGATCGCCGAAGATGGTAGAGAAAGTACAACTCCAGTTGAACCAACTGATTGTGGTCTTGGCGGTGAGTTACAATATACTGAAAACATAGTACACGGTGATATAAATACTTGCCTTCTGTATTCTAAACAAGAACATACCACTAAGGATATGAGGAAAGATAAAGACAGAGATTCAGAGATTGATATACTAGTTATATACAACACTAGATTATAAGATACTATATAAAGATAGGATTCTATTAAAAAAAAACTATTGCCTATGATAGTACTCATATTTAGATATAACTTTATAAAAATACTCTTCGAAAAAGATCTGATAGTATTACATTTTTTACTATAATCATAGATAAACCTATCATTGAACTGCATCAGTATTGTCAAAAGAAAGTTTATATATGCCTCTAAACTTGTACTAAAAATTTTCCTCCATAATTTTCATATAAAATAGAATAAGCGCAAGAGGGCATCAGACTGTGATTATTTTGTAAAGCATATAAAGTATACTTAAGAAATTTTCTATAGACAAACATAAAGAACAAAAGTATATGTATTAGAAAATTGAATACATGGATGTTTATTATATTTTTGTTACCTTAGATTACTATTAAGCTGAAAGTACGCCAAATTTTGTTGCCAATAGTTAATAATTAATAATTACAAAAAAAACTGTAGTATGTAATATTATCTTTTTTTATTATACATACACAAGAAAGCATGGTAATGTCTAGAAGTAGAGACAGTTTTTTAAGTTGTACGTATAATACCTAAGCGAAATCAGTTTGTCAGAAAGACATGTTTGTTCTAATATCCGATTGCAATATAATAAAAATTAAATATATGTGCAGGAAGCAAATTCTCACTTGATCCGAATCTTGACGATGGAGCCTCTCCCAATGGCTCGCGACGGTCATTGGCAGACACGTCTGTAACCTCGACAGCCGACCTTTCCGTATTTAGTTCGGCAACACGGTGTCAAGCGTTAGACAATAGTCTCGATACTCAAAGTAATATTTCAAATGCTAGCTCGGGCAGCGGTGGCTTACCTACGCCCAAAGCAACACCTCCTCAACCGAGTCCAGATGTTGTACGAATTTATGTATCATATAGTTCACCCATATCTGATTCATACAAAGATGATCTTCCACGTACACTCCCACGGTCTTTAGAGACCAACAGGATTCGTATACGAGTCGATCCCGATCAAACGCCAATAGTGGAAAATCTCAAACCATTTTCATTAGAAAGTTCGGAAATTGAATTGGACTTGAAATAATTTATTCTCTTAAAAAGCAAAACATAATTCCATATGCAAAAAAAAGTTCATGAAATTGATAGTTGCGGGTAAACTAAACCAGACGGTTCTCTTAGATTTTAATGATAGGTTGTATGCGTGTAAATTTTATTCTATCAATGCAAAACAAGAATTATAAATGATTGTACACATAAATGATTTACATTTATTGATTAAGATATTGAGTTACCAATTATTGTCAAACTAAAAACTACAAGAAATTGCAGAATATTCTTTTCATGTTTCTTAAGATATTTTAATTTTTACATTCATTAAAAAAATGAAATTTTGTTTTCAAATTTTTAAATTCCACTTTCTATGGGTCACCGTACAATAAAGACAATTTTAAATCAGCTGCCTTATTAACTTAATGTTGTAATCCTATATATGTCGCTTCTTAAACAAAATATTTATGCATATGTGTATCCTGCATCGGTAGAATAAAATTTAAGATCAAAAATTTCATTAAAATTTGTTTGCATCAACTAGATACTCCTTGGTATTAAACACTGATTTAGATGAACAGAATTCTAAATCTGTACTGTATTATAAATTCGAATATGCACATACTATTGCCTTTTTCTTTAAAGTAGTAATTATGGAATTAATGATAAACGTGATATATCCTGATATTTCTTGTTCGAATATAAATCAGTGTATGTTATGTGCACTAGTCACGAAAAATTATAGCAGTTCGTGCTTAATGAGACTTCTACACTTTTGCAATGGCCTAATTTATGTTCATAGGGAAAATAGAAACAGTTGAAACTTATGCTATAGAGAATTATAATTTTCAGTCCATTATTTCTAATTAACAATCAATGAGAACTTGAATAACGAAGTTATATTCGTGTTCCTTATTGATTAATTATAAAAATAATTGCATAATATTTATCATGTGTCAAATTATATCGTACGAAATTATACTTAACAATAATAAGAAGATGATGGAACTTTATGCAAAGGAAAACGAATATATATTAAAATAAACTGTAATATGTAGTAAAATATCTAAAGTGACGAAATTTTAAAGTATTATATGAATATATTATATGTAAGGCATTGCAACATTACGAATAGGAGTATAAACATTTAACATAATGTATAGATAATTTCTGTAAAATATGTGTTTCTAAATCGCTCCATTTAACAAACACCATACAAAATATTTTGAAACCTACTATAAATTGGCCATTATATATACATACGAATATGAGTCAATTTTTCATAGTAAATATAATACTAAAATCAATATTTTTGTTACAACACTATAAACATATAAAATCTTTTGAATAGTTATTATTATATTTTCAGTATTGTGTATACTTCTCTGAAAATTTCTATAACTATTGCATATGTCTTAAATGAGTATACATAAAGTTCCATACTCTAGAAATATTTAACAAGTAATTAACCACACATTATAGGTATCTTCTGTAATGCAAACAAAAACAGAATTATTTTCTTTAGTTGATTATAAATAGATGAAAATCAAAATGTTATTGTTTTAGAAATTAATTTCATGTAAATTTCAAAAGTAGTACATACATTCAGTACTACTACTACTTTCACCACTGAAACTTGCAACATTCTTTATCTCTCTTCAGATATTTTCACCGGATTAACTTGTATATTGCTGATATAATTTAAGGATCCTAAAGTGTCTAAGACGATTCATTAATCACTTATTTTAGGTAAGATCATGAGTTGGTGACATAATTTAATATAATTTTGATAATTAATAAAAAATTTTAAGATTTTAGTTGATAGATTGAATGATTATTATAAAATAATAATCATATTTTTCAAAAGTTACATTCTAGAAGTACGTTAAGTATTATACTGCCACAGTACTATTAGTCCTTTTTTATCTTAAGTTTTGCTTCTTTTTATAAAGATAAACGACATATATACCATTGTATATACGTAGCATTTACCAAGGAAGGCAATCTTTCATTGCATATTACTTGGAGAAGATGTCTAAAATAGAAAAAACTCATTGTCAGAATTTTTGCTGTGGAATGTGAATATTGAACAGTCTTCTAATATGCAACAATATTTATTGTTTAAATGTACAAAAAGCCGTTTAGGTAAACGTAATTGTAATAGAAACATGCTTTTTAATCTATTGGTTCTGTAAAACATTCCTAATCGTACAGTATTCCTCGATGTATATAGAATATAAAACCTATGGCTATCAACCTGACAGCAATCACTTGTTATATCTAATATAATAAGGTAATATTTGTTAAATAAATATTAAATGTTAATGATTTGAGTCTTTATTGCATTGTAAAGGAATTCAAGCACACAATGTACAGTTTTATGGTAACTCTTTCTTGTGGTTGCATGACACTAAATTTTTCAGAATGTGAAATACATTAATTAAAATTGTAAGTCAAATATGGAATTGTAAAAGTATAACAAAAATCCAATACAAATTCAGAGAATTACATAAATTTAGAAACATACATTCCTTTGTGCGACATTCATCTCTTATTTGTTAATTTTTAAGTCTATATATTTTAAATACTACCTTTATACATTTACCTTTCGTATTGAATTTAATGTAAAGTGTAAACTTCTGTCAATTACAAACGTCACAAATGCTCCCACGTGGTTTTTAGTTACGTTGATAATGTACAAAAATGGTAAGAAATTATAAAATTTCTTAAGATACTTTACTTACTTTTTACAAACGCTTATATTGCAATATCAAAGACAATTAATTTTAGTACGTTCGCGTAATAAAAAATTATTAATTTTCTATTCCTTTGCTAAAACAAAAAATTTACTACTCAAATATTAATGAAAAATAAATAGATTCAATAACAAATACTACCTAAAACTTCATCGAAAGATAATACTAACGAAAAATTGGCCTCTGTGCCGTAATATGATGGGTATAATTGTGTATAGTAGTAAATGTTCTCCTGTAATCTGAAGGTGATAATTTGTTTTAAATTAGATTATGATAAATGTAACTTCAGCAAAGAGATTGCAATGTCTTTATTAAATCAGAGAACGAAACAGCGCTACATATATGTAATTGCTTATAGTACAAGGTTTTTTTATTTAAAAATAACATATTGATTGTTTTGTTCATTATTCACATTCGTCTTGTATCACTATATAGATGAATTGAAGTTCAAATGTAATACCTGATGAAACATTTATGTAATATTTAAAATTGTAGTTCAAGTGGATATTTTTTTTATACAAGAATTAAAAAAATATGCGATATAGTATAGGCTTTTGTGTATTATTCATAGGATATTTAGAAAGAAAGACGAAATCTAATGACGCAATACTCATATAACTCTCAATGCCTGATAAACCACGTTGTATATTGATTGAAATCATCGAAATAGTAAATAAAAAATATGAATTGAACATTTGTTTCTTTTCAGAAGTTCTTCTTATTAACCAATATTCAGCTATTCATTTTTTTACAAAATCACTTTTATTTTAACTAGAATTTAACTTCTAAATGTTTATTTTTAAAATTACGAGAACATCACAGGTGTATCTATAGTTACCAATTATTAATTTTACACGGCGAGGTTCAATACGTATGTAATTCATTGAAAATATCCACGAACCCTATTGTCACAAATATAAATTTAATTTTTTCTGTACTGTACTGTCGTTTATATTTGTTTATACATATCTCCTATGAGTACCAACGTATAAATACCGCAGAAAATACTGGTTTCGTATATCTAAAAAAAATAGATATTTTAGTATTTATATAATAATGTTAAATAAAAAGATTCTGTTCAATTTTCGATATAAAACATATTTATCAGTGACACATAAAACCAAAAGGAAAATAAACATATGTAATAGTTGGTATAATTGCCATTAAAATCAACTTTCAATGAATATGCAATATAAATGCAAATGTAGCATACTAATAAATTTACTATAGGGTAAAAAATATGTAACACAAAATTGATTTCTCTGCTGGCCTCTCGAATACAAATTAATGCAATATTAATGTAAAACTATTGGTTTTCCATTTCTTATTATTTGTTGCCCTGCATAGTAACGCCAAATTAAGCTCTGTCCTCTCTGTAACTGCTTGGTAGCTGACAAGTGAGACCAACAATCCAGCCATCCAGTATAAATTGGCATGTGTGGAGGAAGACCAGCAACTAATCTTTATTTAAAAATAAATTATTCATTATTTCATTCATTTTAGTATATTACAAACATTAAAGACATCCTAAATAAACTCACCCACAGTTATTAACAGCCATAGAATGTGATACCACTAAATATGGATACGTGACTGTTGTTGCTATTACCTATGGAAGGTATTATAATAAACATTAGTATAGAATTGTACAGAATTATAGTACAATTGAATAATTGACACTAAACGTACCACTATTTTAAATAAACTTATTTCTTCCATAATCATTTAAATAATAGATTATAAAATAAAAGTAAACAAGTTAGGTGATAAATTTTTCTTAGTGGAAACATAAATAAAAGGAAAGACACAAATTGAAAAACTAATTAATTAGACAATATAAGAATTGATATAAAGTAAAATGATTGAAAGAAAATGCAGAATTTTAAATCAAATTTTAATAGTACTCATTCGACCAATCATGGTACGTTTAGTGCTAATGTACTTACTCTTATAGTAGCATCAACATAAACTTTTGTTACTTCATCGTTTAGAATGTATCTATCAATAAGATAGCTAAAAGTACTGAATAATATTATTGCAGCAGCATTTCCAATAAGTCGAGGCACTAATCCTGCATAGTATCCCATAACACCATTTTCTTTATATACTTCCATAATCGATCTAAATAATCCGCTAAGAATTTACAAAAGAAAAGAAATAACTATAAGAATAATATATTTATAATTGTAGTCAAAATACGTATGGAACGTATTGTTTAATTGATAGTATACTTGTATTTTGTTTCCCTGCCAACAAACTGTGCCATCATTCTTATACTAATGACATCAAACGGATGACTGGCCACAATTGCCACCATCCTACAACTTAAACTCTGTATGAGTTCATATATGAATATCTTATATCTTTCACTGAAAAGAGGAAATT